GGTCGTGATTTAACGTCAAAACGCAATTTAAACGTAAAACCAGGAACACTCGATTACAAGTGCCAACCAGTCGGCAGCGAATATCTACTCCAATAAAAGAAAAGAATCTAACCCTTTAAAATTCAGAGATCTAAAATAAAAAACAAAAAGGAAATGATAACCCATTAAACAATGACTTGGAGTTTCTCCAGTCATTCAGCTATGGCTTCTTAAGTCGTACGTCGGTGTAAATCGCCTCGTATATCAGAGGAAATTCTCTTCTAAGATTTTCTGATTTACCATTCGGAGCTTAATGCATTAAATTAGAGGGGTGAAGGGGGAAATTTGTAGATATGGAGAAGGAGAAGAGGAAGAGAAATCAGGAAGGGGGTGAGGAAGGGGTGCAGAAGAAGGCGAGGAAAAAGGAGGAGGCGAGTGAGGAAGAGGTGGAGGAGTTTTTTGCAATACTTAGAAGAATGAAGGCGGTGGTGAAGTACTTCGAGAAAACTGGCGGGAAGGGATGGAGGTCGGCCGTGGAGGCGGAGGTTGTGGTGGCTGCCAGTGAGGAGGATAAGGAGTCGGATGATCATAAAAAGGGGGAAGGAGTGGAAGAATGTGGTGGAGGGCTCTTGGATTTGAACGCCTTACCGGAGGAGAAGAGCTGAATAATTAGGCCATCAATCATCATCGTGTGTCGCTGCCGCGGGGCGCCGATGGCGAGGAGGAGCTGGCATCTACTGGCCATGGACGGGGCACCAAGGTTAATAAATTACTGTTGAGTTAAAGTTACGTTTGGTTTGAGTAAAATGGATGGGTGAGAAGAGGTAGGTTTTTTCTAATCAAATTGTAATAATTGATAAATAATATAATTTGATTATTCAAAAAATTATCTCTTTTTTTTTCTTTTTATTTTTCTTGAACTAAATATATTTGTTATGCTTTTGTTTTCTTTCTTCTAAGCATTTACTAATTTTGTTCGTTTAAATTAAATACGTTTATTAATCTGAAAAGGGAGAAAAGTTTGTTCAGTTGTTTACATTTTTTCTCCTTTTTTTTTTTTTTTTTTTGGAAATATATGGTTTGGGACTTGGAAGTTATGGGCCTGCAATGGTTTGACTCCTGTCTCAACCCAATCTCAATTTCTTTATGTCTGTCAAAAGGTTTGTGTTTAATATAGAGACATTCTTACTTATACAGTACATGCTTTTTGTTATGGTATATTATAATCCTCTAAGTGATGAGCATATGTGCATGTTATTTACCGCATTTCATGTTAGGAATGTGAAAGCATTAAAATTTGAACAGGATTTATATGACTAGAAAAGTGAAATTTAGGATGTTTTCATGTATAAAATATCAAAATTACGTATAAAATTGTTTAGCTATTCCTTTTATATTAATCTATTAATTAAAATAGTTAAATCTTTTTATTATTATTTATGTTATTTTAATTATCAAAACACCTTAATTTTTCTCAATTACTTTTTTGCAATTATCTAGTATGGAAATAAAAATAAGAGATAAATTTCAATCCAAGTCACTTGACTGTGGGGATATTTTTTCTTCTTCCTTTTTAACATTTGATCATTGCCTCACAATGGGGATTGCCTCTCAATTTTCAAAATTTGTCTTAAAATTTAAATTTTTAAGTAAAAGCTTTACCTAAAAGTCTCAAAATTTTTACTAATTAAAGTGGAGGACTCCATTAGAAGCACCATTTTTTTGTTGGAATGTATGGATACACGTTTTCTTTGTCCCAAATTCTTCATGGTGACATTTGAATTTGTTCTCCTTAATTACATTAAAAATAAAAATTTGTGTCCCTATCTAAATTTGTGTCCTTACATTACAATGGGACCCAAAAACAAAATTATAAAATTCAGGACCAATGGTATTCACTTTTTTCCTCCTTTAAAGGTGAGAACTTTAAATTTGATTCATACAACTTGCATATAGAATAAAAAGACAAGGGTAGTATGACATGAGACTCTTAAATCAGTTTAGATTCATCAACTTATTATTCCATACGTCACTAAAATGATTTATTCCTCCAAGATTTATCCTTTGTTCTTGGAGAAGAAAACAAAATTATAAGATTCAGGACTAGTGGTATTCACTTTTTTCCTCCTTTAAAAGTGGGAACTTTAAATTCGATTCATACAACTTGCATATAGAGTAAAAAGACACTGGTAGTATGACATGAGATTCTTAAATCAATTTAGATTCATCAACTTATTATTCCATATGTCACTAAAATGATTTATTCCTCCAAGATTTATCCTTTGTTATTGGAGAAGAATATTCACATATTGATACATTAATTATGAGACAACTCCCTTTTACTCCCTTAACAATTTTGTTTACGTTTCATATGAAACTAATTTTCTTAATCAAATGTAAAAAGTTAGATGTTAGCATTGTAGAAATTTTGAGCACTATCAATCATCTGGAATCAAGGTATTGAATCTAATGCAATGAAACTAACTGAGCTCTTGTTGATTACATCATGTGATTCGATTAAGCATATGAATTTTGAGTACTAGAAGAGGTTTTAGTTATTACTCAGCCAATAGTTAATTGGCCAGTTGAGACTCTGGCTTGCTCTTCAGATCATTAAAGAAAATTAAAATAGAAAAATGGTAAAAAGGAGCAATATTTAAGAAAAAGAACCTAGAAGTCCATTGAATTTTTCTTTCGTTTAATGGATATGATATTGGATACAATGGATAAGATCTGCATGCATAAATGACAAATGTTATGAGCACTGGAGTGGGCTTTGTGTTTTTATATGGTTAAGCAAACTAGGCCGGACTACCACTTAGGCCCAAGCAAATAACAGCCTCCACATTTTTTTTTTTTGAGTTTTTGTTTTCACAATTTAAATTATATTAAATTATAAAATAAAATTTATAAAATTTGTACTTTTAATGAGTTTTTTCTATACTTTAAGCGTATAGATTAA